TCATTTAGTAAATTCGAGATGAGCAAAGAGAAATAATGTCCTGAACAAGTTTCATGCAATGCTCTCAAACACCTTCAAATGAGAGATAATTAGCTTTCTCTCTATCTAAGCAACTTGAGGCGTCAAATAATGTAAACTTGAAGTTGTGAACCAATTGAGAATATAGACAGTACATGTCGATGTATTGGCCCAAAATTCCTTGGGCATATTCTTGCTTTAAATCTTGCTTTGAGCCATATTAAGATTAATGCAATTTTTTTTCTTTACAACATTTTGTTTTGGTGAAAAAAATGTTTTTAGTTGATGTCACATGTCATGCTCTTTACGATAATCTTCAAATAATTTAGAAGTAAATTCACTGTCTTGATCTGATTGGATAGTTTTTACTGAATTACCACTTTCATTCTCCACACTTACCTTGATTTTCTTAAAAATGATAAAAGCTTCTAATTTTTATTTCAAAAATTATACCCTAGTTTTTCTTATATGTCATCAACAATGGTAAGAAAATAGTGATGCTTATCAAAGGATATTGGAACAACAGGTCCGATATACAACTATGTGAATTAATTGAGGAGGTTTCTACGGCCTAAAGCTTGTTTCATTATATATATATCCTTCACAAATTTGATTTGGTTGATTGATATTTGACAACCCATTTAGAATTCTTTTTCATTAGATATTATTTAAATCTCCAAAAATTAAATGTTTGAGCCTCGTATGCCAAATCCATGATGAATATTTTATAAAAGTCTTTAAGCATTCTATTATTTCATTCTTTATATTGAGGTTAAACATTATATTACTTGTCATCTCCACTTGTAGTAAGCTTTTTGATACACCTTAAGATTACATATTTTTAATATACATTTAATGTTATACATTTAATGTAGATTACATATTTTTAATATACATTTAATGTTCATTTTATGCATATTTTTTATAATATTGCACTTTAAAGGAATGTATTTTTCATGTTTTTAGTTTCAGATACAAGAAATGGATCTTTAGAGAAAATGAGGGCAAAATGGAGCAAAATGACACAACATCATATGGTGTCATAGCGCTAGCTATCCACTGTTATGGACGTCATAGCGCTAGAAATGGTTTCTCTAGAAGATGCAATGAATTTGGACAAATTTTGAAGGGCTCCTTGAAGTAACCCTTAATTATTTTCAGAGTTCTATTAAATGGGGCCATTGATTATTCAAAACTGAGGCTTTGAAGAGGAATTTTGGAGGCTCTAGAGGGTGTGTGAGTTCTTAGTGGTGAGAGTGTATGTAAAAGTTTGTGAGTCTTTGATTTTGTAAGAAGAGTTTGGAGATTGCTTGAAGAAAACTTCAGGAATTGTTTGGGGAGAAGACATAAGATAAGTATTTTGTATTTGTGTTTGAGTTTTTGTTGTTAATACTTGACTTTCAATACAAACATGTGTTTTTGTTTTTTCTCCATGAATTCTGGGTAATTTTTGTTTCTTTCTCCTTACATATGGGAATTAATCATGTGGGATGAAAACGATTTAAAGATTTCTTTTTATTTTTAAATATGTGATGATATTTTCACCAGTTCTTAATTTACTTTACAAACTGGTCATTTGTGATGTTAAAATCTGTTGCGAAACATAATGACCCAGGAGGGCTATGATTTCACTCAACTTGTGAGTACCTCACTTAACTTTGGATAGATTCGTCACAATTATCTGAGGGGAAGTGCAAATAGATAGAGAGATAAGTTTTGATGGGTGTAGAATTGATGTTTCTAGAATGACATGCTAGATTCTTTCGTCAATTCGATCTTGAGTTTGGATCTAAGGGTCCCTAGTAAGTCCTATAGAGAATGCACAACGGGTATCTAGAAGTGAAAGGCTAGATCCTACTCAGCACTACTACACAAGCTGGAACAAACTTAAGGTTAGCCAATGTTTTTTGCTTGCACCAAGAGGGGATAAAGAATATGTATGATCCTATTCGTCACAGTGCATCATTTCATATTTTTAATCATTCAATTCCTACACTGATTAAGATCTCCTTGCAAAGGGAAAGATCTTTTCTTAATATTTGAATTCTTTTAAACTTTATTAGTATTTTAATTTTTTTTAGTCTTTTAAACTTTATTAGACTTTTAAACTTTGTTCTTACTTTCTGCTTAAATTTAGATTGCACATAAATTTAGCTTTAATTCTTTACAATTATTTCGACAACATTCTCCTATTATTTTTATCTGCAGTTTAGATGGAAGTTTTTCTTAAGTCATTACTAAAAAGTTATAGCTTTTCTTGTGGGTTCGATACTGGGGTTTTTAAAGAAAATCTTCTATTACCTGAGACGATACGTATACTTGCGTAGTACCTCTAGCGTGAATGCTTATTATTTATTTTCTAAATCATTTTATTTATTCACACTAGCCGCTAAATATAATTTGAGCCAAATTTTTGACAATCTCTTGGAATACAAATATATGCGTAATTGCGCGTCGATCACTTTTCATCATTTATATGAATATCAAATCCAATTTCAAGTAATTGTCCTAAACTTGAAATATTACTCATTGTATCTGGAACATAGTAAACATCAAAATACATTGATGACTTCTATCTTTAAGAGGAATAAGGATTTTATCATTTGCTTTCACTAGAACTTTTGAAGAATTGTCAAAATAAATTTGACTCTTCATTACCTCCATTTCTACGAACATGTCTTTATTTTCACACATATGATAACTTGCTCCGATATCTAAGTATCAATTATTTCGCTTTCCTTGTTTTTTTTCCCTTGTAATAAAACATGTCGCTCTTTCATTTTTAGATCCATGTTAGCTTCTTCTTTATTATAATGACATCTGAAAGTGTAATGACCAACCCTTTTGTAAATATAACAATAAACATAAAATGTTTTGTACTATGTCACCTTGGCTCGTTCTTTCAGCTTTCATTTCTTGAGATTTGACTATTTTCATTATTTTATTTAATATCCTCCATGTCCATATCCTCATACTCTTCAAAAAACACGATCTCGACCACGACCGCGACTATAACTTTGCCCATGGACTTTTTGAGCACTTGAATTATCATCAATTTTAGAGTCTTCACTTGCACTCATTAATGTAAGCTTTGATCGGAGAATTTGCTCAATAGTATCATATTTTTTTATCATTCTTTCTTTGCTTGTAAGCCATTAAATATCTCATAATTTCATTAAGGTCGTAGTTGTTGTGAAAAAATCGACGGTAGTAAAGGCGAAAAACAGATCAAAAAAATTACACCAGAAATAAAAAGGACGACACAAGATTTATGTGGTTCGGCAAACTGTCTACGTCCACGGAGTTGTAGAGAATTTTATTAGCTTGAGGAATACACCGTCGACCACGTCGACTTACAAGAAACTCTCTCTCCTCTCTCCCTCTCCTCTCTCTTCTCTCCTCTTTCCTCTCTCCTCACTTTTTTGCCGAGAGCTTACAGGAAGAAGAAAAAAGAACAAACAAAGGAGCAGCCACCTTCCTTTGAGCTTCACGTCGCAGGAATTAAAAAGGAGAAGCTTCATGCGATAAACTAGAATCTGTAGTCTGTTTGATTCCAGCCATGCCTATTTAACCTCCTTAATTCAACCCATTAAAGGAAAACCGTAAATCCCATTAAGGTAAAACCTTAATCCCATTAACATAATGCTTTCTATGATGGGAAATCTGAGGAGGCAGGAAGAGCATATGGAAAGCACCAAAAGCGGCAAGCAATTAACAAAAAAACAAATGTTATGAATTAAATACAAATTTAAATATATTCCTAGATGTGAAACTGTCTAAAAAAAGTGTAGTGGACCGGGCTCCACATAACCCAACAGTAGTCTCTAAACACTTAGCTTCCTCAATAACTACTACAACGTGCTCAAATTTATCATTCGCCAAATGCAAATTTTTTTCAATCAATCTAACAAATTTTAAATTTTCTTCATATATTCATAGTTGATTGATAACAGTCATAGCTCTTGTGAAATAATCCTCTACATTTTCTATTTACTTCATTTGAAATGCTTAGAACTCAACTTAAAGTGTTTCAAGACGAACATTACTTACCTTGTTTATGCCTTTATAAGCAATTTGAAGTATTTCCTATTCTTTCTTAGATGTGGATGCGTGAGTCACTTTCTCAAAATATGCCTCCTCTAAGGCTTGATAAATGAATAAGAGGGCTTCATTGTCCTTCTTCCCATTTTCTTTCAACAAATCACTTTGGGCTGTTGGTAATGTTGCATCTTGTGGCACGATATATCCTTTTTCAATTATCTCTTAAATATCCTTGGAACCAAACAATACCTTCAAATGAAGACTCCAGTTCTCGTAATCCTTCTTTGTAAGACGCGACAATTGTAGATTCAAACCACTTGCTATCTTGTAACAATGTTGGCTTTGATACCAATTTGATAAAACAAATATATATGAGGAGAATATAAATGGATGTTTGAGAAATTTGTGCGGACAACAAAATAAAATAAACTTTACTATTATTCATTTATACTCAAAATGACAAGACTAAAGACCAATTTTTATTTATAAATAGATCATTCTAAAAAAATTTCATATACTACAAGAATCTAGAAAAGTCCACAATCAAGTTTTCAAGATTCTAATAGATGTGGAATACTAAATGACACTTTAGTAAATACATTCTAGATATTCATAATATTTAATAATTTTGATTTAATTCCAAAGAAAGGCTTATAATGATTCTAGAGAGGCCTGACAATATAACCAAACAAATCTAAACCTCCAATCATAATTATTACATCATCATAAGAGTATAAGTACTATAGCCAGATTGAATCTCTTCAAACTGATAAAACAGAAGCATATAACAGCACTCTTCTTTTATTACTTCTTATTGTAGCAAACCAATCAACAGTATTACAAAAAACAACAACAACATAAACAACATAGATAATATAAATTTAAAAGTTGCACATGCAACTCCCATAAATAGAACCTGATGACATATAACTCGACATAAATTAACCCAAATTAGCTGAAACAAGTTTGCTGATGGTTTCCACATCAGTTTTAAAGGATTGGGCCAACACCCAGTTGGGAATCCCACTACCAAAAATGTTTTTGGGTAAAACAATGGCTCCAGGATTAACACTGCCAAAAGCTGCAACAGCAACTGCAGGGTATTTGGAGTCCCCATTAACCTGGAAGTGAACAAGTCCTTTGGGGAATATAAATGCATCTCCGGCATATAACGTCTGAGTGTAGAGTTCATTAGCAGAATCAATCAAGCCAACCTTAACCACCCCCTGTATGACAAGTAACAGCTCTGCAGAGCGAGGATGGATATGGGGTGGGTTGATTCCGGTGGGACTGGGCTCATACTGGAGAACAGCCAAGGAGACGCTTTGGCCTGCGAGAGCAGGGAATTCTGATTCTGTAGCTTTCGTCACCTTGAAGGGAACACCATTTGGTCCACCTGTAATGGCTTCTTTGAACCCTGTAAAGGTGAAGAATTTGGCATCTGGATTAACGCCAGGAGGAGTAATGAAGTCGGTGAGGATGTCGGGATCAGCAGCATGAACCGTGAGGCTGGCTGAGAGAACTGCAATGAGCAGAAGGCAGGATCTCATTGTCATTTTTTTTAAAATTAAATTTTTGCTTAGGAATTTGCTTGGTGAATTGTGAAGGAGATGGGGAGGGGGTATATATATACTTTTTGGAGTTTTGGAGACCTGGTGCATGGCAAAAAATTCTAATGAAAGAAGAATTGAATGGGTTATATTGATTATTTAGTCTAGCTGGCCGGCATGAGGCTTTCCTCCCTTAACTGTTATTCCAAGCTATTCTTTGTTGTATTCATGGACTTTCCTTTTTTTTTTTTCATGTGATTTAATCAATGATATTTTAAAGATTTTTTGTGGAGTTGTGCTTAGGTCCAAGGCACCTGTTGAAGGCTAAATCAATGTGCAATTTGCTGTGGTAATTGGACTAGTGCTGAAATGTCTGAATTGGCTAAATTAAATAGAATGATTCAAACGAGTTTACGACTTAGGTGAATTTTTAAAACTTATAAATCAGAGGTTGAAATATGTAAGAGGTAATTCTCTTCTCTCTATATAAATACATGCGCGCGAGCGCACAAAAACGTACGTATATAGACAGACATGCATACATAGATACATACAGACAGACAGACAGACAGACAAAAATATATACATAGATACGAACATACATACAAAAAGACTTATATACATAGATACATACAAACAAACAAGCAAATAAACAAACAAACATATAGATACATAACATACATACACGCATATATAAATCCATGCATACATACATACATATATACATACATACATATATAAATGCATGCATGCATACATACATATATACATACTTGCATGCATGCATGCATGCATGCATGCATACATACATCAAAATCAAAGCATATGGAAATTAGTTCCACCCAAAAATCAAAATCCTACAATTAAAATGGATTTTCCACACCAATTATCACTCAGATGATTTGGTAGATAAATATAAAACATGATTAGTTGCTCAGGGGTTTGGTCAAGAGTATGATTAGTATTGTTGCAAAAAATTTCACCATAAGATAATATTGCTGACCATTGGCATTCACCACAATTGAAAAATACAATTAGATGGCATAACATATAGGAAGTAACCTCCACGGTTCCAAGATGCTTAATCTCCTACACACACTTCTACTATTTATGCAAAGTTATCTATGATCTAAAACAAACATATCAACAATGGTTTTCAACCTTTTCAGGCCATCTCAAATAACAAGACTCAATCAAATTATAATAGCCTCATCCTTATTTCTTCACTTCAATGAAAACAAACACACTTTTTAACTCATTTATGTTGATGACATCTAAAGTACTGGAAATGAAGACACGTACATTACCACACTCATTCAAAATCCTCATCAACGCTTTCAAATGTAGAACCTAGGAACTGTATCTACATTACTGCGCATTCAAGTTCGCACAACCAAAATATGATTATTTCTAAATCAATCTCAATATATCAACGCTCTTCTTCACAAATTTGGAATGGATACTCGTAAGCTAATTCCAAAACATCTTCCTATGAAAGCCTAAAGAAAATTCCACCTCAAAGAACCATCCTCAGATTCTGAACTCCACCACAGACTAGTTGGAGCTCTTCAATAATTTCATAAGACACCCAAATATTGCTTATGTAGTAAATCAAGCATGTCAACATATGGAAGAGCCAAAACAGTAACATTTCCAACTAATTAAACACATACTCAATACTTACAAAGGACAATAACACATGGTATTTCTCTCACCAGACAAAATTTGTAGCTAAAGTCATTTTCTGACTCTAATTTGGTAGATGATCCAGTTGATTGTCACTCTATCATGAGATATTGTGGCTATCTTAGGAATAGTCTAGTCTTGTAAGAAGTTTAGAAGCAAATGATGGTAGCAGGATCTTCTATTGACGCGAAATATTATGCCCTCGTAGAATTGTTGCACACAATTTAGCTACAAAAACTTCTCTCGAGTCTCTCCAATAACAAACCTACCCCAGTTTACTGCGGTCACATTTCTACAGTAATTATCACTACAAATAACATTTTTTACACCCAAACTAAATACATTAAAATATATTTTCACTCTATTTGGGATCACATCTAAAACAAAAGAATCATAGTTAACAACATTGCACCATAGGATCAAGTGGCAGATATACTTATCAAAAGCCTATCTAGTATCAAATGTCATAAATTTAGAGATAAATTAACAATCCAAGCACTGGATTCTTAATTTGAGGGGTACTGTCGGCACATGGAAAATTATCTCATCCAAATGGTGTTAAGATCATAGCAAAGTTTATATTTTTTTTTGCATTTATGAGTTGTATATGCAAGTGCCTACAAAACTACCTACTCTATATATAATAAGATGCTTAATGTAATCAGTGATACTTGGATATACCTCAAGAACTCTTCTACCAACATCTTTCTCCTATTCTTTCGTATGTCCTTTTTGCTACTTTTATAAGTCCTATTGCTGTACATGATGTTGAAGTTGTCTCAATCAATTAGATTAGCTCTACGATATTAAATAAAATTTGTGAATGTTTTAACTTAATAAATTAGAGACTGAATTGTTTTGGGTATGTCAAACTTAAATTCATTACTCTTATGTCAATGCACTCTTCTTGAGGAAAACAATTTAAAATCTTCATAAGAAATTTTGTGTGAATTTAAGCAAAATTTTCATGAGAAGTATTGCTATTAATATGAATAATTTTCATAGGCACCTAAATTTGTGCCTCAGAGTTCCTTAATTTGAATCTTTTTTTGTCAAGTTTGTAGTCAAATAACCAAAGTTTATTATACATGCCAATCGGTAGACTTGGTTGATCAATTTTATCTACTTCTAACCAGTAGAAGACAGGACGATGGGTAGTGTCTACACATCTAATTAGCTACCCAACTAGGGGTGTAAACGAGCTGAGTCGAGCTCGAGCCAATCTTAGCTTGAGGTTGAGCTTGATTAATCTTTTGGAGTTCATGTTCGATCTCGAGCTTAAGTCTACGAGTTCAAGCAAGTTCATGAGTCGGCTTGTTAGTGTTATAATAAAATGACAAATATAATGAAAAATTAAGAGAAAAATAATAAGAAATCACTTAATATAAAATACAAAATATTTTTTAAAACCTTTTTAATACTTATAAAGTCTTCAAATTTAATATATTTTGAGTATATTTTATATTAATAATTTTTTAAACGAGCTGGTTCACGAGCTAAATAGTCGAGTCAGGGCTATCTTGAGCTTGGCTTGTTAGTCTAATGAGCTCAGTTTATGAGCCAATTATTAAGCCTAGCTCGAGCTAGCTCATGAGTTGACTTGACTCACTGACACCCCCATTCCCAACAACATAAACAGAGTCGCTTGCTCTCCAACTATACACCAGCCTAGAATCTGATAGCTCTGTTGATCAGTCGCGCCTACAAGATCCATCCGTCTGGCAAAACCCGACGAAGCCCTAATAAGCCCAATCAACCAAACCCGAGAGCAGTAAGGTCCTAGGCTCACAAAAGCGAGATACCTAGAATAACCTGCATAGTATTTACTCAAGTAGTGTCATAAACATAATGTCACCTATTGCACTCCCTTTGTACATAAATGGGGGGTCTTTTTAAGAAAAAGAATTTACACAATTCTCTTATTCTACTAGTCATTAATGCACACTTTTTCTTCTATGTCTCTCTCATGTACTACGCTTTATTCCTCGGGTGCGATTCACAGAACAAATTCAGATTTAACAATTAAGATCATAAATTTAAGATGTTTTATTATTTATTTCTCAATATAAATGAAGTTCGATGAATTATTTTTCTCAAGAAAGGTGCTTGTATGTCATCGACAAGCTTTGGCAAGTTGTATTCGTTGTAATGTTCTAATGTCAATTTTCATTTTCTGCTACATTATGTTTAGTTTCATGCACATAAATCTGGTCATTTATATTTCTTCCCTCCATCACTAAAAATGGAGCAAATATTACTTGGACGATTGTACCTCCAAACGATGGTTCATAGGAACCGCTCCACCATATATAGTAGCATGACCACATCCGAACCATCGTCTAGACATACAATCAACCTCACCTAATATTTTCTCTAAGAACATACCCCTTGGATGCTTTTCCATGTGATGTCACCATTATGAAAGATAATTAGCATGAAGCCATATGCTCCATTTCTTCTAGGAAGCTTCCTCATCAACAGTCCTGTATAATTCAACCACAATTGCAATAGTCATACACAGCTATAAATGTTCCTTCTGTTACATCTTATGCTGTTACACATCTTAGTCTTTCATGACCTCTCACCCAAATGATGAACCGCATCCCAATCCTCTTTTTTTTTCTTCTTCTTCTTTTACTTCTTCAATGTAGTGACTCTCAGCTTCTCCCCATAGTCGAAGTACATGATCGCCATGAAAGAGATGTGTACATCATCGACGTGGAGAGACATGAACAGCACCAGCTCCTCAGCGACGGCGATCTTGAGAGCTTTCACCTCTCCTTCCTCCCAAACTCCACTCTTGACTCCGGTGAACCGCGGCTGCTATATTCCTACCGCCATGTCCTAAGCGGTTTCGCCGCCCGCCTCACTCCAGGAGAGTTGGAGACTGTCAGGTCCAAGCCAAGCTTCCTCTTTGCACAGCGCGACCGCCATTATCCGGTTGGGACAACCTACACACCCAAGTATATGGAAACTTATTCTCTTGATTTTTGTTTATCAGATATATCAAAATGTTGACTTTAGTAGGAAGGAGTGTTTATGTTCAACATTAATATATATTTTTAAGGGGAATTTACATACAGAGCAACAAATCTTCTAGTTTTACAAACGGAACGCCCAATTCACATTTTTCAACAGTGGAACATTGAAATCCACATTTCAGGCATAACTAAGATGCTGCTTTTGTGAAAATCAAAATTTTTATGTAAGATACATAAATGCATATGAATTGGGTTCTATGCATGTAAATTTCCAAATTTTAAAATAGTAAACATGACATTACATTTAGAGAAAATATTATGTGAGGCATAGTTAGAGCTGTCAAAAGGGCTTGTTGTTCTCGAACAACTCGTGTTCGGCTCGTTAAGAAGTTAAAGAGTAATACGAATAAAAATTTGTTCGTTCTTGATCAGCTCGTTTTAGCTCGAAATAATACTCATTAATTATATATATATATATTAATTATTCTCTTTAGATGAAGATTGTTTGAGTCACCCTTTTGTCAGATCCTTAAGATTCTCTTTTCGCTTTAATGATATTCCCTGATGTGTAGGATGCTCTATATATTGATGAGTGAAGTTTCTAAAAAATTTAGTTGACTTCAAGACTATAGAGATTTATAATCAATTAAAGTATTAATTATGAAAATAGAATAAAAATTATCAAAATAGATTAAAATGATGTTTTAATATAAATAATAATTTTTAAATTTTAAATATTGCTCTAATCTTTAACATCTTATGGCTATGTGATTAGTGTTATCAAAACGACTCTTTGTTCGTGAATAATTCACGTTCGGCTCGCTAAGCAAACGAGTCGAACACAAGCACATTTTTTAGCTCGAAATATAACAAGGCGAACACGAGCAGAGCCTGGGTTCGCTGGTGTTCGGCTTGTTTACACCCCTAGGCACAGCATATTTCGGATGACGATTTGAATATGGCCAAGCCTCCATCTATCACACGACGGCCCATCAAACCTTCATTCTAATTTATGATCGCCTCGATTAATATTTACTCTTCCATTTAATGAAAATCTGTATGTGTTTTAATATTGGACAAACAAAAATACATTTTGATCCATTAGATGTGGCAATTAATTTAGTTCTCATATGCACTTTTATAGATACCTTGGCTTAACAACAAGTGGCGTATGGGAATCCACGATGATGGGCCAAAGTATAATTATCGGTGTAATAGACAGTGGCATAAAGTCCAATCATCCTTCATTCGACGATACCAATATGCCACCACCACCACCTCCCACAAAATGGAAGGGCAGTTGCTCCTACACCGGCTTCCATTGCAACAATAAGATCATCGGAGCCAAGGCCTTTCGTGGTGGCTTTAACCCTTCCCCTGAAGACACTGATGGACATGGAACACATGTGGCAAGCATTGCAGCCGGAACCTTTGTCAGAAACGCAAACGTTCTCGGAATGGCAAGTGGTGGCCCAGCATCTGGCATGGCACCCATGGCTCATCTCTCCATTTACAAAGTTTGCTTTCCAAGATGTGCTGAAACTGACACATACGCAGCAATTGATCAGGCAATAAAAGATGGGGTGGATATAATCTCAATGTCTATTACTGGAGGGCGGAATTATAAGTTCTACAAAGATTCAGTTTCTCGAGGCTCTATAGCTGCCATCCAACATGGGATTGTTCCTGTCACAATAGCAGGAAATGATGGGCCTAATGCGGATACGCTTAGCCATAGTGCTCCATGGATGCTGGTAGTTGGTGCTTCTACTACTGACAGAAGAATAGAATCTGTTGTAGAGCTTGGTGATGGAAAATCATTCATTGGAGAGTCAGCGTACCAGCCGAAGTTGTGGGATTCAAGTATCATGTGGCCGCTTGAATATCCTGGAGTGTATGCTCGTCTCCCAGGCCGTTGTTGTGTGCCTAGTGCATTGGCTAGTTTAAACTTAAGAGGTAAATTAGTGATAATACCATCATAAATTCAAATCACTTATCCGATGCATCATAACTCGCGGCGTAATCTAATGATAAGTTGGTAGGACATTTACTTGTCAGTTGTTAGTCCCCTCTGGTCTGGAGTTCGATTTCTCCAGAGTATAGAGTGTGGTACTCAAATTCTTAGCCACATGAAGGATGACCGGAGCTCATATAATAGCCTCCGGCCATTTCTTTATGAATTAAAAAAAAAAATCTGAGATGCATCGTTGAGTGCAAAATTTTATCATTAGAGAATTAAGTAATCTATTATTTTTTCAATTAATATGAACTCATGCATGTGTATTGACATTGTGTTGGATGTGTAACTATTTAGCTCACATATAATATACTAAAATAAACAGTAATATCTTGGGTCAAGACTTCAATAATAATAATAATAATAATAATATAATTATTATCAAAATTTGTCTTTTTAAACTCAAAATAAATGTCTCATCTCAGGTAAAATTGTGATTTGCGAGTCGTGCATAGTTAAAGATGAGGTAAAGGGACAGGCTGTATATAAAGCTGGTGGAGAGGGAATGATTATAATGAACCAGCCTGTCCAAGGGCGCACCACTTCTTCTTCTGCCAACGTGCTCCCTGCATCAAGCGTAGATTACCATGCCAGATTAGAAATTTCAGAATACTTCTTCAAAGACCAAACCAATGCATCTGCAGCCATACACTTCCAAGGAACCAAATTTGGATCAACTCCCTCCCCTACCGTAGCATCCTTCTCCTCTCGTGGCCCAACCAACATAAATGGTGGGATCATTAAACCTGACGTGCTTGCGCCTGGTGTGAACATCCTAGCTGCCTGGCACACAGATGTTGGCCCAAACCCAAACCCATTGGCTACCCACACCTTCAACTTTGATAGTGGCACCTCCATGGCCGCACCGCATGTGGCAGGTATTGTGGCATTGATGAGGACCAAACACCATAGGTGGACTCCAGCAGAGATCATATCAGCAATTGTGACAACCGCAAATGACTCATGGACAGCTGCAGGGGATCTTATTGTTGATGATAACACCTATGACACTGCAGGTATATATGCCACGGGGGCAGGGATGGTGTGCCCGATCAAGGCCATGGATCCGGGGCTAGTGTTTGGGCTTACCTTTGAAGATTATGTTGAATATATTTGTGGGCTTGGGTACAGTGATAGGGAGGTGGCAATGACAGTGGGAAAGCCAATGAGTTGTAGCAGGGTCAAACATCTCACTACGACAGAACTTAATTATCCATCGATAGTGATAAAATTGACACAAATGGAGATGAGTCAAAAGGTGACAAGGACAGCAAAGAATGTGGGAGATGTGAGAGAGGAATACACGGCTGAGATTACAGAGCCAGAAGGAGTGACAATAAATCTTTCAACTTACAAACTTAAATTTACAAGGGTGGACCAGGAGGTGAGTTATGATATACATTTCGCATTAAATGGGGATTTTCCGAGCCTGAGAAGTGACATGATAAGACGAGGGAAAATTAAGTGGGATTCAGGGAAGCATATTGTGACCACACCAATTGCTGTTATGTTCAAATAAAGGATTTGTTCAGGCATATGCTAAGCATGATATAAATGTGAGAAGGTGTTTAGCACAAAAAGGTTAGCATAAATCAAAGACGTGTCCTTTTCAGAAACACAAATAATTTACTTGATCTTCATACGCCACTTAAGCTCTTACAATTGATAGGACTAACCTTGAGGATTCTTTGAGCTCTACATGACTTATTTCAAAGTCTATTTTTTTGTAATTCGTGTAGCACAACATGCAACAACATACGCCTCAATCAATTTTTCCTGCGTATATCTATATATTATTATTCTTGTTTTATGCAAATCAATATGCAAAACAAGGGAGATCACTCCATCTCCCTTGTTATGGATTAAGTCCTCATCGTCTTTGTTTTTTCGTTATCTTGTGTCAATGAGATCTAAGACCAAAATTTCTAATAAAATGAAAACTCAAACACCTACTAATAGATTTAGTAGAAGAAATCAAAATCTAGTTAACCATTGCATTATCGATGGAGGAGTTCATTCAATAGATAAAAAACACTACTCAAATGACTTTTCACTATTGAAAGTTTTAATTAATAATTTTATATATCTATTCCTACAATTTTGTTTGATATTAAAATGTTATATTGATAATAAAGCAAACCTAAAGGCTTTATTGTAGAAGGTTAAAAGCAAAGATAAAACTTCATTATGCTTTGGATATTTTGAAGCAATTAAAGTGAAATTTAACAATCGTAGTCCCATTATTTGGATGAGTAATGTCAACCATATATATAGATTTGAAAAGGAAGATTTTAAGACGGAAGACAATATATCACTAGTAAAAGCTAATCAATTTGTGTTAATTCATATGTTGGTGTTAATTTTTTAAGTCACGTGTATAGGATGTCCACTTGAACGACCTTAGGGTATGTTTCACGGACATCCGTCTTCAATCCTTTTGCACGTTGCCATAATTGTTTTACTAGGCTTTGGCTGTCAAAGAGGCGAGGGTCGACCAGTTTTACATTATGAGACGACCTCAACCGGACAAGTTTTGTTAGGCTCAACGTGAACAAATCAAGCCATACATTGGCTTACTCGTGAGGAATTATGCTTTAGATGACTCCAGATGATGGAACAGACAACGTCAATCGGTCTGGAACGTGTTTTCACTTGGGGAGGGTCTTTCAGGTCTTGTCATATGGCCCGAATTACCATAAATCAAGAAACTACCCCAATTAGAGTAGTCGTGGTCATGGCCACATGAGGGTGTGCCATGCCCCATCTTTGCCACGCTACCCATAATCAACTTGTTTCATTGTCTGGTCCCTGTTTTTCCATCCGGACACCTTCCGACCATTGGGATAAGCCATTGCATAGGTCCTAAGACAAAAATAGCATCAGAACGAACCTAGAAACTTGCCAAAAGAGGCAGATGGTCATTCAAACCTCTACGAATATCCTTCCTACTGGGGGAGATTGCACTCAAATTACTTGGGGAGAGCCAGGAGCAATCATAGAGAACTGGGGGAGACTTTTGGAGAGTTCTTGAAGAGCTTTTTCGCCGTTCTTCTCCTTCCTCTTCTCCATTTCTTTCTTCTTTCTCTTCTCTCATTTTTATTTTTTGGTCATTGTCTTGGACCGAGAAAAAAGGGGAGAGGCGGAGGGCTTGGGAGGGGTCACAAGAGTGTATTGAGAGTTTATGGAGAGTTCAGAGCTTCTTCATTCTTTTTCTTCTTCCTTCATTTCTCCATATTATTTCCTTCGCTTTCCTCTCGTATTTTTTTTCTCGGCCATCTTATTGATCCAAGAAACAGAGAGGAAGAGCAAAGTGTGGTGTTGCGCCAACGTCTAAAAACTCCTTGCAAAGAGAGATTCATCATCTGAGGGGAGCGGAGGGAGGTACTTGGAGTGTCACCGGAATCTCTTCGTGATGAAGAGAGCTTCTTCCCGAGCAATGAATGGACTTTGATCAACCATTGCGATGGTATAACCTTCTCAACCCATGCATTTTTCTTAGGATTAGATTTTCACTTGATGTTGTGGGTTTGGTCGTTCACACGAGGCAAGTTGGTAGGCCTAAACTAGTCAACACGGCCACATGGCTTTGGATTGATCATTGATTTCCTAAAGGAAGCCCTAGGTTAGGAAGCTTTCGTTAGACTCATCCGTTGTCAAACTGAGTGGGTTTTCGTGATAAGCTTTAGATCTACACCTAAGTTGGTCGGTATCCCAATTTTCCTACGGCTTTGGCGCTTCCAACCTTCCTTGAAGGGGTTGGGATTATTCAATTTTGAAGAATGGGAAAAACTCTGTAGCTGGCCCATTCTACAAGATCGTAAGAGGTATGAAGGACGAAAAAAACTTTGTGACTAGTCTACCGTACGAGCAGTGAAGAACTTTTCCTATGAGAAATTAGGGGCAAAGTTCTCAACATTTTCTCGCCAAAGCCGAAGGCGACTATGTCGTGAATCCAAGAGCTAAAACCCTAGGTGTTTATGTGAGATAATTAGCACCAATGCGGTTCTCTATTATTTGTGATCAAATGCATCATATCATGTTGCATTTAACACATGACATTTTGCCTCAATCGGTCACCCCTACTCAGTCGACATCACACTTTGCTTCGACCGACCGACCCAGCTTGGTCGGTATCACACTTTGCCTCAACCGATCGCCCTGGCCCTGTCAGCATTTCACTTTGCTCTGACGAGCCACCCCAACCAAGTTGACCGACACTTTGGTTCAACCGGCCTCCTCAAACCCGTCGTCTGACCACTTTAGTCCGACCGGTCACCCCTGGCCTGGTCAACCGACCACTTTGGTCACCCTGACTTGGTCAACCATTCTTTTTTGTCCAAGCGACCATCTTAGCCCGATTGAGCCCATTAGGTATGTTGCCTCGAGTTGAATACCTCGGTCGACCCAACGGGTTGACAATCGATTCCACTTGCATAGTGTGTGTTTTACATGTGCATTGGTATTGATTGCATGGCTCAGTACCAGCACATTCATCACTTGGACCCTTGTCATGCAATGTTGAACATATACTTTCATATGCAAGCAACAAGGACTTGTGCCTCCCAATGGCACATTACGCCACATGTACTTTGTGACATCCACATGTCATTTAGCACCATTTCACATGTGGTTTTCACTTGCACTTCCCACCTTCGTGTGTTTGCTTGCATAGCACCCTGCATGTTTCATGACTTGTGCATTTACATGTGTTGCACTTGGATTTGTGTTTCTCATAACTTATCCCTCGTGTTCCCATATCATGTGAATGAATGGTTCGTCACCAAGCTAATCCGTTTTGTAATTCCCTCTATTGAGAGTTACATCCTTACACTTACTAAGACACTGCTTTGGACCGTCGCAGACACCCTTTCAGGTCACTGCCTACAAGACACACTCATCATTCTGGCCACTACTTCCTACGACACACCCACCCTTTCGGGTCATTGCCTCCACGACATACCCATCTTCTGATCACTGCCTTCACGAAACGCTCATTTTTTCGGGTCAGTGTCTCCACGGCACGCCCACCTTTTCTGGTCACTACCTCCACAACACTCTCATCTTTCGGGTTGCTGCCTCCATGGAATGCACACCCTTTTCAGGTCACTGCCTCCACGATACACTCATCTTTTGGGTCGCTACCTCCATGCCACGCCCACCCCTTTCGGACCACTACCTTCATGGTACAACCACACTTGCGGGTCACTGCCTCCACGATGCACCCATTCTGCAGGCTTATGCCTCCACATAATTTCTACCTCTTTGGGCCACTACCTCCACGACACACTCATTCTTAAGGCCGCTGCTTCCACTGCACGCCTACCTTTTCAGGTCACTACCTCCATGACACCCACACCCTTCTAGGTCACTGCCTCCACATACACCCATTCCTTCGAGCCACTGCCTTTATAACACGCTTAACCCTCCTGGTCACTGCCTCCATCACACACCTATTCCTTTTGGCTACCGTCTCCATAGCACACCCAACCTTCTGGGTCACTGCCTGTACGACACACCTATCCTTTGGGTCGCTGCCTCCACTGTACGTCCATTCTTCCGGGTCATTACCTTCACAACACACCTATTCCTTTAGGTTGCTGCTTCTACGACACACCCGCTCCCGAGTCACTGACACCACAGTACACTCCTCACCACTTCTATCACATTATTATTTACATCACAACCACTTGTCTATCGAGCCTGACTCACTATCCATATATGCATACAAATGCAAATGTAAATAATAATGTGATAGAAGCTATGAGGAATGCAAACTAAAACATCCGAATTGACACAAGTATGACTATGCAAAGGATCCAAGAACTCGTGTCACCTTGCATGTTATGGGTCCACATTCAATAAACCTTATTTTAAAACTAAAAATATACATTTTTTCTACTTATTACATTGACATAATTTTAAAATTTTGAATGTAGCAAACTAGATCATATGTAAGGTCAGCCCTTTTTTAAAATCCATCATGGGTGACACTTTTTAGATCCCTTGGATCTTTAAGATGTGCCGGTGTGGTTACCCCATAAAATTTATACATACCCGGAGACTTACCCTGAGCACTTAAAAACTCATTAGGACACATTTTGGTTAAATGGTGTTTAACTAAGAACTATGATGCTAGGTAGTCTTTTTCAATATCTTGACTATAGTTCTCTGTTGGTTTGGTTGTCCTAGTCATGCATCACCTTTTGTGCTTTTTGGTGTGCTTGCATGCAAGATTTGCATAATAGTATTTTAGGGCGTTCTTCTGTAAAAAGTTAGGTCTATAGATATGCACACACACACATGTATCATTAAGGAGGAGCATGTGATGATTTCTACTAACCTTGCAGGTGTCATTTAGCTCCCCTCAATGGAACGACATGGCTCATTATATGCTTCATATTTGTTGGTTTTCCCGCTAATGTTGTTTTCATGCAAGTCGTGTTCTTTTTTCTTTTTCCTCTATACTTTTAGAGCCCCAGGAGAGTCTATATTAGAAATAAGGTATGGGCACGGGTTCTAAGATCTGAAACCAAGTTACGGGGACCAAGAGTTGTTTGCTCTTGTCTCGTACCTTAATATTAAATTTCATCTATGTATAGAATTAGAACCAGACATGTATATGCGGAGTTAGATCACCATTTTCTTTTATGGGATATGTCACGGACGTAGCGACACCCACCTTTTATTATTTTATATTTGGCTTATTTTTTCACTTTTCTTGCATGTTTGCATGCTTGGATTATTTTCCTTGTTTCTTTCTGATTGATCTAAGATGCCACAAAAATTAAAATTTAGGCTCTTTAGAATATTACAATTGTTAGTTTTTCTACAAAAATCCTAAGCATGAAAGATTGAGATAATCTAAAATTTAGTTTTTTTAAAATTTATGAGTTTGGATTGCTCATAAACCTTCCATTAATTGCCATTGTCTCCTCCTTTTCCTTACTCAAGCTGCCTAATTCTCAACAGAGCAGCCAGGACACACAATGCTCTAATACCAAGAAGCTTAGAAAAGAATAGATTTTATGTAACTCTTACAAAAGCAATGAATAGAGCATAAGAAAGCTAATAACAAACTTAATTTTTATCACATTCTTGAATTGATTGTTGAACACTCCATTAAAGGTTGGAAAATTTTATAAAAAATAATATTAAAAAAATGATTAATTATGTAACACACACACACACACACACACACACACACACACACACACACACACACACACACACACACACACACACACACACACACACACACACACACACACACACACACACACACACACACACACACACACATATATATATATATATAATTGTTATCCCACTTGGCCACGTGACACCACATGTCGAAGTTGTCATTAAAAGGGCAATTTCTTTATGTGGATCATATGGTACCATATGAAAAGATGATGTTGTCATTTTTGCATTTTTTTTTATTTATCATTTTTTATTAAAAGTTTAAGATAAATTTTACATTGGTCTTTTTTAGTTCTTTCTTTATAAATAAAATTAGATCAAATGAATATTATCATTATTAATATTATTATCAATAATCTATCATTGCTTATCTAGGTGAAATTAGATATTTGGAATGATGGGGCATGATTTAATAGGTTTAAACTTCTAAATATTTTTATAAAAATAAATTTACTTAATATTATATGATTCAGAATTATTTTTAAACGCATGGTCATAATTTTACTAATTATATAATATGCCGAAAATTATTTAATTAATTATTATTTTAAAAAAATAATTAAACTAATCAAATTAATTAAGAGGTTTATAATCAGAACTTATGATCTTCCATTGTGTTGGAAAACACCTTTCAATCTTTTATTATTCTCCCTCTCTCCCTCTCATTTGTTAAAAAGATGAGTTGGAGTATGTGAGGATTTCCTTCGAGTAAGACTTTGGGGGTGGAAAGAGCAAGCCGGCTCTTATTGGCATTATAAAATTATAGCAACCCAAAATTAGCAATTCTTATAATCTTATTTAAATAATCATATTTTTATTTTTAGAAGAAAATTTTATCTTTTACTATAAATAGTATATGATTGAGAATTCTTTTTAAAAACACATGATTCTAAATATACTAATTAGAAAATCAACTTATAATATTTTATATATTCTTGTTAATAATATAATAATTAAACTAATCAAAATAATTAAGAATTTTATAATCAAACCTACTATCTTCTTTTTTTGTAGAACACCATCTTCTAATCTCTCTCTCTCTCTAGAAAAAATTTCATGGTAATAATGGGATGAAGTATGTGAGGCGTCTTTTTATAAGAAAAATTTTTCGTCGGAACTCATGACGTAACTCTACGTGCGGACTCCAATAATATGCTGTCAAGAAAGAGATTTGAGAGGAGACAACGGGTGTCTTTTTGCTAACTTAATTAACACAACTGTTTTGGGCCAATGAGTGCTCAGACCTCAGGAGTATAATATAAATGTTTGAGGATGATTTAATAAATGTTTGTAAGTGAGTATATATTTTCTAAATAAAACTTAAATTCATTGGCTTTAGGTGTGTATACCTTCTGTTTAATCTCCATCTACAACATCTCATATGCATTTTTATAAGGAATTTAACAAGGTTTTGTTGTTGCGCACGATATTCTATTTAGGAGAAGGCCATCATATTTCTTGATGAATTTAATATGATTAATAAATAGATCATGAATGTGGCTTGAATAAACAAATGGAGTAAGTGGTCAAGGATCTATAGATGCATAATTCTAATTAAGTAGATCTCCAATTATCATTAGTGCTAATTTTATTTAAATTTTTTCGTCGATAGAAGTGTCAATTTAATTCTCAATTTTTAATGGAGGCTCAGTCAGACATACTACTTTAGCATTTTATAGACTTCTTGATTAAAATGACCTCATGTAAATAGTCAGATCTATTTTGCAATGTATTCGTTAAAGAACTAACCTAACATATAGAGATCAATACAAGTACATGAAGGGTTCAACTGGGTATTGCATTGCATTCACAAAGAGACCCAGAGGTATATATATTTGATTCAAAGAATCACAAGAGTAGCTACTACATAGGAAAATAATTAATAAGATAAACAAAAGTATTGTCAGTTTGAAGGTTACAATGAACTAACTCTTCGCAGTTTTGGTAACACCAATAATAAAGAGGAGAAGATATGCTAAAATCTCTCTTAAAATTTTGTTCTTTTGGATAGAGGACAATGGCAAGAAATACGCTTCCGGATCGAAGGCAGTTTAAGTTTTCAACTTGAGCTCGGGATCAAAAGGAGACAGCTTGCCACGATGATTGAAGATCATAAAGTCCAGATTTGACGGCAATGAGACAACCCTGTATTTTGCATTAAAAAAAAAATTAATAGCAGTGAAAACATTTGCATTATATGTAGGCTCAAGTCAGTGTTATCAAAGCGCAAAATGTAATATGATACGCATGACTATTTTTTATTCGAAAAGCAAAATGCAAAGCGAAGCAGCGATTTATTAACTAAAATACTAATATTTTATAAAAAAACTATTGATGCATAAATACCTTCATTAACAATTATAAAATATAAAGCAGGAATTAAAGGTTGATATAAAATGAAAAATAGTGTGGTGCAATATCTAACTTGAAGGAAAATAGTAAATGTGAACCTACAAATAAACACTTTGAACAATTCCTAGTAGTTTGTTGTAACAATTAAAAGCTTAAAGTTGTCTAAATAAAATTACAAATCAAAACAAAATCTAAAATTGAAAGCATGTATAAAACAATAAAATATCAAATTTCATAGAACATGCTAAATTAATTCAGTAGCCCTTTATTCCCTCTCGCTAATTGTGTTGGACCGACCGTTTTGCTTTAGCGAAGTGAAACGGGATGCGCTTCACTTTACATGTGAAGCGCACTTTTCAAAATATTGATTCAGGTTAGCTAAAAATGAAGTTCTATAGTTCAACATATCCTAAAAAAAAACAAAAAAAATACTAATAATACATAAGCTGTGAATTATATAATACACAAAACAAAGAAAGTAGAGTTATCCGATTGCCTTTACGAAATTTAATAATCTAACTGGGAATTATAGGCAGTCCACAGGTTTTGCTTCGATGTGTTTATTTCCCAAGTTAGTGGTGGTGTCAGAATGCAACTTGCTCTGTAGCTTCTCAAATAAATCAAGATGGAATTTGGGAAGTAGGATCAGCGCAAACTATGTAGAGCATCGGTTGATAAGTTGTGCTTGCAAATGTAAATGTTAATTCTACCCATCCCTCGATGTCAATCACCATGACGCACCGGCTCTACCACACATGCAGGCAAGCAATGTCAGCTTACTACCTCCAAGCTCATGTGCAATCGTATGGCCTATCCAGTGTCCCATTCCCATCATTATCACTAATCTACTCCGCTTAACGAGATAAGACCGTGTCACAAAACGAATACCTCATCACCTCCACCATTATGCCTTATCATGCTAACCTGCAGTTCCCTCATGACATGATTTGCTTATTGGATTAAGAGTTCTTTAATATGAGACTAAATGAATCCGTGCATATGTATCCCACAAATTAACAAATTTTAAGCTAAATTTCAATCCCACTAGCCTGCATTCGGCTGCAATTTATGGTGTAACATGTTGATGTGTTAAAAATTGACATGGTACACTCCATAACAAGTCGAATGCAAATCCTTCTACCACATCCCATGAAAACCTATAATTTAAAAATATTGCTCCAAACTTTCAGTGCTGAATCATTTATGAATTTGTCCAAAATCTAATTTGAACGGTATGGTTCATTAATCACCTTTAACAACTATTCTATCTTTTAGATCCAGCCATGGGTTATTATTGAATAAAATATTCCACTTCAATCGTGTGAACAATCACAACTTCAGATAAAGTATAGAGGGATAGCAATAAGTGGGAACGAGTGGCCTCTCACTTACAGTACTTGAGATCATATTGCTTCAAATGTGCTCTAATTTCCGGAAAATTAACTCCGATGTTGGATAACAATGAATATTTTATTTTCATGAAGCTTCATCAAAATTTGCATGTACTTCTTATTTGTTATTTCAATTCCCCCAACACTTGCTACTATTGAATAACATTTAGAACGTTTTTAATATTTTCTTAACCTTATAGCTATCTTTATTGAAACTATTATAAATTAATCTAAACACTCATACTTTAATCGAATTAAAAAATTTGCCTACAAATTTCTGAGTAGCGTGCTTATTGGCTTAAGCTTGCTTAGCTCAATCAGTTTTAGCATGCAAGCTTCATTCACAAAATGATGTATACGAATTGTTGCATACAGACTCTTATCATTTAATTTTAGCATGCAAGCTCTTACCAGGAAATAATTAAAAGACTCTGATGTTGTATCAAGTCAAACTGAGTCAGTTAATAACAAAAGACTAGGAAATTGAAATTAGCATGCATTGTAAAAATTACTTGGGAAAAATTGCTTGGTTTTCTTATTCAAATGTAGGGTATACATATATATATATATATATATATATAGGAAATTCAATCCCACTGAGCAGGAAATAATTTTGAAATAAAAAATAAAGAAATAAATAGGAAAGGAATAAACACAAATCAAGAGGTTTTCAAATTGATTTCCAATCAAATCTCCCATAAGGTCTTGTATAGACGGCCTATACTAGGAAAACGGCCTGAAACTTCTCAGGTTTTCACACGCTCCCACAAGTTGGGTTGCGTAAATGTTTTAGAGACCAAGCTTGGTATTGAACTCTGAAAAGGTACTTAAAGAAAGGGCCTTGATAAGTCATCAACTTGTTGGTGTGTCGGGATATAACTAAGTTGTATAATTCCCCAATTAACCTTTTCAAAGATGAAATGTCTATCAACTTCAATATGAGTGATCCTGTCATGATGCATAGGATTCTTGGCAATATTGATAGCTTCTTGATTGTCACGAAACATTTGTATACATCTATTGAAGAGGCACACCATTTCTCTTAACAATTTTCTAAATCCAAATCTCTTTACCGATTCTTAAGGCAAGTGTCCTATTCTAATTATGCAGTGCTTCTAGAAATAAAAGCTTGCTTCTTACTTCTCTATGTAACCAAATTTCCCCATATGTATGAGCAATAACCGGTGATGAAACTTTTGTCAATGAGTTCCTTAGCGCAACTAACATCAATGTAGACATTTACATCTCTATATCTCATTTTTTTTCAAAAACTAATCTAAAACCATGAGTTTTCTTCAGAAACCTCAAAATCCAGTATACCATCTTCAAATGATCTTCATTTGTGCTATTCATGTGTAGACACACAATACTGACAAAGTATGTAATATCTGACATAGTATGTGACAGATGAATTTTCATACCAAACTTTGGTATCTTTCCTTATCCACGGATATATTATCTTCTTCCATGTTAGACTTCTTGTTGGGTTTCATTAGAGTATCGAAAGGTTTGCATCCAATTACCCATGTATCTTTTAATAGATCTAGGATGTATTTCCTCTGTGATATAACAATATTTTTCTTGGACCTTGCTACCTCCATATAAAGAAAATATCTCTTGTTTCCTAGATCTTTAATTTCAAACTCGACAGCAAGCACTTTGATTTTAAGAATTTGACTTTAATCATCACCATTAAGAATCATATCATCCATATATATTATCAGTGCAACAATCGTATCTTCTTGAGTATGTTTTATGAACAATGTGTGATCAACTTGACTTTGACAACATTCATCGGATTTCAAAACTTTAAAAAATATTTCAAACTACGCCCTTGATGATTGCTTTAGCCGATAGACTTCATGAGTTTGTATATTAAATGTTTGTTGGAATCGTTCTCAAATCTTGGTCGTATCTCTATATACACTTCTTCTAAATCCCCATTCAGAAAGACATTTTTCACGTCAAGTTTATGTAAACCTCAAATGAAAGGAGAACTTTGATAGTATCCAGTTTAGCTACTGGTGTGAAGATCTCCTAATAGTCAATCTCATAAGCTTGTGTCAACTCTTTTACAACAAGTCTGGCATTGAATCTCTCAATACTCCCATCAGTTTTATATTTGAAGTTGAACACCCACTTACATCGAACTGGTTCTGTATCATAAGTTTAGTAAGAATCTATATGTCATTATGTTGTAGCGATCGAATGTCTTCTTCCATTGCTTTCCTACAACCTTGAACTTCAAGAGCTTCATGAATGGATTTAGAAATCTACACAATATTAATGTTAGATACAAACGCTCTATAGGCTAAGGATAGCTTTTCATAAGCAACATACTTTTAAATTGGATAGCTAGTACAGCTTTCCTTGTTATCAACAATAGAAAATAAAGGGGGCAATGCATGAATACAAGACTCCTCTTCACCTAAAATATCAGGTAAATGTGGACCCAAGTTTTGGTTGAAGCAATTCTGATTTTATAAGTTGTCTACCACCTGCTCAAGATTTTTTTCTTTCAGTGTACAAATGAATTTCTTTGTTGACTTCAGGAGAGTCATGGAAAAATATAAATAGGAGTGGGTGGGGTTGTTTTCATGTAGGTGTCATCAAGTGCATCCCAAAATTAATGTTCATTTACACTCTTCCTCTGAACATTAGATTTGGGATAGTAGGATTGAATTTCAAAAAATATGATAGTTGTAGAGTTGTAATATTCTCTAGTAATAGAAGAGTAACACTTATACTCCTTTTTACTGGAGACATGCCTACGAAAAATACACTTGATAGATTTGGGTCAAGTTTTGTGCGATTTAGTTAGTAAATGTGGACAAAAGAGAAAAATATTTTTAAAGGAAGATGTGATGAAAGGGTCTAACATGAAGATAGTTTTCCATTAAAACATGGAGAGAGACTTTGAATCTAAGAGCTCTGTTTGGCATTCTATTAATGAGGTGGTGGTCGTGAGCACAACATCTCCCCAAAAATCTTTTGAGATATTGTGAGAAAGCATTATAGACCTAAATATATCAAAAAGATGTTTATTCTTCCTCTCACTATCATATGTTGTTGTCAAGTCTCAACACAAGAACTCACATGGATAATATCATTCTTCACAAGGAAGGTTCCAAGCATAGAGTTGAAGTATTATTTTGCATAATCAATTTTGAGAATTTGAATTTTACAATGAAACTAAGTGTAAATCAAATCATAAAAAGACAAAAAAATTTGTGTAGTTTCAAATTTATTCTTCATGAAAAATATCCAACTGGTTCTAATGTGATCATCAATAAATGATACAAAATTATTTAAATCCATTAATGATTTTCAATTTTGAAGGTCCTTAAATGACACTATGGATGATAGAGAAATGATGTGAGAGTTTATACTGAGATAGATGAT